GATGTATCAATTAATTTATTAATTTCTTCATTCTTATTAGTAACATAATTAACTAATTATTAACCTGTGTATTAATTATTTTTAGGTCCAACACCATCTACAAATTATGCTTTTTTAGGAGCACCTCTAATTTCATTAAATTCACCTCTTTCATTCTTTAATTTAACATTAACAATAACTTCACATGGTTCTTCAATTTAATATTTAACAGCATAAGATCCATCATCATTATCTTGAATAGTATATTTGATGATAGCTTTTTCTTCTAACAATTATAATCTTGTTTTTTCTTAAGGTACATCTTCTTCAACTTCTTCATATTCAGATTCTTAATTTTCACCTTATTCTTCTCCTTCTTATGGTATTTTAACTTTCTTTCTCTTAACAATTCTTTTTTTATGTGATTCCTATTCAATTCTTTCTCTCTCTTCAGGATCCATTTATTCTAATTATTATAATCTGATAGCTTCTCTTTATCTTTCCTCATCTAATTCTGCTAATATATCAGGTCTAGTAATTTCTATTTAAAATTCATCAGCACCACTTTCTCTATTCTAATTATTCAAATTTCTTGTTTGAATATAAAACATAGTATCAATTTTTGTTGCATTTTCTCTCAATACTCCTGGTCCAAACATTAATGTCTTTTCAGCTTTTGAATTTAAGAAATATGAATAAAATTGACTCATAATAGTAAAATCTAATCTATCCATACAGACTTTTACTTCAGCTTTTCTAGCTCCATGTTTTTCATATGAAGGTGTTTCACATGTTATTTCAGTAGTACTAACATAAATTCCTTGAACATCTTCTTAAGCTTTTCCTGAAAAGAATCTTATAACAATATTCTGTGAATCCTTAAAGCCATCTCCTGTTATAGACACTTTTGTTTTTCCTGTTAATGGACCTAAACATGGTTTAATTGAATAAATAGCATAAGGAGGTCCAACAATTGACGATACATTTAATGCATAAATATCATTCATCCATGCATTTGACCAACCACCAAACATCAAAATCCTAGAGTCTGATAAATCATAAATTAAAGTTGTAGATTCTCTAGTTTTAGGTTTGACTGGTTTATCTTCTTCCAATTAAACAGGTGACCATTTCTTAGCATCTACATCTAATACAAAAGTATCATCTACTAATCTACTGGCTGTTCTGTTACCACCTTCTTCAAAATTTCCTACTTGTCCGCCAAAAATGAAATATTTCCATGATGGAATAGATGGTACCATGATTCCAGCCATATTCCATTTAGGTATTTCATGCGAGATTTCTGGATCTACCCAACTATTGTTATTAATATCATATNACCTCTAATTTCATTAAATTCACCTCTTTCATTCTTTAATTTAACATTAACAATAACTTCACATGGTTCTTCAATTTAATATTTAACAGCATAAGATCCATCATCATTATCTTGAATAGTATATTTGATGATAGCTTTTTCTTCTAACAATTATAATCTTGTTTTTTCTTAAGGTACATCTTCTTCAACTTCTTCATATTCAGATTCTTAATTTTCACCTTATTCTTCTCCTTCTTATGGTATTTTAACTTTCTTTCTCTTAACAATTCTTTTTTTATGTGATTCCTATTCAATTCTTTCTCTCTCTTCAGGATCCATTTATTCTAATTATTATAATCTGATAGCTTCTCTTTATCTTTCCTCATCTAATTCTGCTAATATATCAGGTCTAGTAATTTCTATTTAAAATTCATCAGCACCACTTTCTCTATTCTAATTATTCAAATTTCTTGTTTGAATATAAAACATAGTATCAATTTTTGTTGCATTTTCTCTCAATACTCCTGGTCCAAACATTAATGTCTTTTCAGCTTTTGAATTTAAGAAATATGAATAAAATTGACTCATAATAGTAAAATCTTATTTATCCATACTGACTTTAACTTCAGCTTTTCTAGCTCCATGTTTTTCATATGAAGGTGTTTCACATGTTATTTCAGTAGGACTAACATAAACTCCTGGAACATCTTCTTAAGCTTTTCCTGAAAAGAATCTTATAATAATATTCTGTGAATCCTTAAAGCCATCTCCTGCTATAGACACTTTTGTTTTTCCTGTTAATGGACCTAAACATGGTTTAATTGAATAAATAGCATAAGGAGGTCCAACAATTGATGATACATTTAATGCATAAATATCATTCATCCATGCATTTGACCAACCACCAAACATCAAAATCCTAGAGTCTGATGAATCATAAATTAAAGTTGTAGATTCTCTAGTTTTAGGTTTGACTGGTTTATCTTCTTCTAATTAAACAGGTGACCATTTCTTAGCATCTACATCTAATACAAATGTATCATCTACTAATCTACTTGCTGTTCTGTTACCACCTTCTTCAAAATTTCCAACTTATCCACCAAAAATGAAATATTTCCATGATGGAATAGATGGCACCATGATTCCAGCCATATTCCATTTAGGTATTTCATGTGAGATTTCTGGATCTACCCAACTGTTATTATTAATATCATATATGATGACATTTTAAAATTATGATATTTGATTCCATCCGCCAAAAATCATAAGCAAATCATTTTATCCCATAATTTATGAATTATGTCCTCCTCTAGGATCAGGTGGTGTTCCAGTTGGCTCTAGTTATGACCATTCGAAACTTTCACAATCTAAAACATATAAATCATTGAAAGATTTAGTAGCATATCCAACTCCTCCATGTCCTCCAAAAACATAAACTTTATTTTTATGAAAGGTAGCTGAATGATTTCCTCTAGGTTCTGGTGCTCCAATCTTAGATTCAGCATTTTTAGGTTCCCCAGTTACTTTTTAATTGGGTGGTTGAGCCCATTAAAAATTAGTTGTTCTTAAGATGAAAGTGTCATTAAAACGGAGATTTGATGTGTAAAATCCACCAAAAATAAGCATTTTATCTTGTCCAATAGCACATGCAGCATGATTGGTTCTAGGTAATGGTGGATCCCCAGAACATTATACTAACTTCCATTCACAAACATTTGGTGCTACTCTTAATGAATAAACTTATATGTTAATGACAATATGTACCTTAATTATTCGGTGCAATCTTTGTATTTTTCTTTTCGGCATCTGGTTTTTTTTCACTATCTAATCCTCCAAAAAGGATATGAGTTCTTCCAACAGTTACAAATGTATGACCTGATCTAGGTGTTGGAATTTGTCCAGATTGCTTCACTTATACCCAAACTAGTGGTTGTGGCTATAATATGATAAGAATATGTATTTACCATCTGTAATTTTAACAAAAAAAATTAATAATAAAATAATATTCCTATTCATTTCACTTAAATATCTACTATATAGTAAATATATATCATATATATCTTAAAAATTCAAATTTTTTTTTGTACCTTTCCCTTCTTTTCATGATATTCATCACTAGAAGTCATTGGAGAATGATAACCTCCTTCACTAAAACATTATAAATTTAAATTACCCCTTTTAAAATCTAACATATTTATTATTTTTCTTTGTCCTTCTAAAATGATATTCTTTTTTCTCTTCTCCACTTCCTTCATTCAAAATTTATTTTTATGCTCCTGTTGTTTAAACAGGTTATGAAATCTCTTATATAAAAGGTGATGTTTTGCTACTCTATGAAAATATTCTATCATTTGGATTAATCTTTCCTTTCCTTTATAAATTTCCACCTAATTTAGAATTCTTCATATTTAAGTATCCTTCCCATCCTTTGATTACATTACCTATATGACCTGTTTCTTCCAAATATCTTGTTTCTTCATCAAATATATTCTTCTCTAAGTTTTTAAGTTCATTCTCTAATATCCCTTTCTTCTCTACAAGGTCTTAATATTTTTTATCCATTTATATAATATTTATATAAATTATGTATCATTATTTTCTTATATTCCTCATTCTGAATAATATTATTGAAGACAATTTCTTTAATTCATCCATTTATTCTACACTAAAAGAATTCAAATCCAATATCTAATTTTGTAATTTCCTTAAATCTTCAATAGTTGGAATATCCTCATGAATTTCAAATGCTGGTAGTGTCCTTTAAGTACTAATTCTATGTGATAATTAAGACTCTGGATGTCCAAAATTTCCAGTCTTTTAATATATATATATATTTCATACTTATACTAATTAAGATTATCTATCATTATTTTACTATTATTATAATTAATAAAGTATTTCTCTATTTTCTTTACTCTATCTTATTTCTTTATTCTCTTTAAGTCCACAAAATTAATTTAATGAACTCTTTATTTTAACCATCTATTATAATTAATATTCCAATTCATTCAATTAATTCTTTTTATTAGATAAAGGTTCATGTATTTATTAATTACTTCCTAATGTACTCTTAATATAATCAGACATCTTTCTTTAACTACTTTATTGTCTATTTTCTTTATAATTAGATTATCTCATTTTAACGAATAAATTATTACTTAACTTATATAATAATTTTAATCATATACTAATTTATCTTAAAGAAATAATCAATATATAATAAAATATAAGAACATTTTCATATATATAATAATATCAAAAATAATAAGAGTAATAAATAAAATAACAATTTTATTAATATACTATCAAATTATCATAATTGTACTTACTTTGCTATATCCAATCATATTTTGTTTAAGAAAATCATTTTTTATGATAACTTTTGCTTAATTTGATTAAAGAAAACATGAATTTATTTTTTATTTAATTTACTCTTCATTATCATTTGGTAATATTTTTAAAAGAGGTAGAGATGTATTTTTATTATTAGGAGTACTTGTAGTGTAATTAGAATGAGGTTTGGTTCTGTATTTGAGATTAATATTTTCTAATTATGTATTGATTCTAGCAGCCTATAAAATTGGAGGTAATGGTTAAGAAATTTAATCACTATAATCTTCTGTTTTATGAACTTATCTTTTTGATTTCTTTTTGTAATACTTCAATTAACCACCATAATTGATTATGTATTTTTTATTGAGAATCTAATTTTTATTCATTAATATTATATTAATCATGTATGAAGATTATGATTTTAATAAAGATGAAAAGTGGAATTAATATATTTAATCAGCTGATCATTCTATGTAATATATATAATATATACTTAGATCTAAAGAGAGATTAGAATATTTAAAATAGATTTGGTACAAAGAAAATGTTAATAAAAAGTATCAAATTGATAATACTAAAATATCAAATGTTAAAGAAGAATCTAAATTACCATATTATACATATAGTACTGAAAATATATTCAAAATGTCCTTTATGCTTTTATTATTCATGTAAGGTGTAGCCTAAGTTTTTGGATATCTCTTCAATTTTTTAGCATTGCAAAGATAAATAAGAAATACATAAATTTTATAGAAAAAACAATATGTAAAACTTATGATAACAAATGAATTCTTTCATAATTTGGTATTTCTGTTCCTATTCCACTTTTTTGAGAGAATGCATAATATATTAATATATAGTCCTATTTTAATGCATTCCTGGGTTGGTATATCAGAATTCTTATTCCTTCATCATAAATCAATATATGAAAGTAATAAAATTGTATGATTATTAGTATAGGAATGTAAAGGTATATTGATAAAACTAAGTAAAATAAAGAACTTATTATGATACAAAAATAAAAAGTGGAAATTATGTTATTTCCTATCCTTTTATTTGCTAAACTCTTCTTTGATATAGGCAATTGGATTATTGTAATTTTGTATCTCATTTTTCTAAAATTGAAATACCATACAAATAAAAGATCAAAAGTAGCTTGGATTTAAATTGATTATTTAATTGAATCCAATTTACCTAGCTTTTTTGTGTCTGCTTATAAAGTAATCAGATAAATTGCTGTACATTTCTTTGTGGATTGATATTAATTATAATATAATGTTATTCAAAAAATCAATTTACAAATATTCATTTCTAACTGCACCTATAGATAACATAATTACAAATTCAATAATTAATGCAAATTTGGTATAATAAATAGATAAATATTGTTATTATTAGAAAACTATCTCTCAATTCCAACCTATGCATTAACATCATTTTTTATGGCCAAGATCACCTATAATCTTATTCATAAATTTATGTATGTCCCTTAAAGTATTAATAACTTCACTAATAAATATGATTTAATGAATGGCAAATAGATTACTGCTTCTTTAGCTACTGTATATATATTAAAGTATTATTATTAGTTATATATGTTTACAAATCAACTAAGAGCTGTTGTTTATTGGAATGGACTTCATCCTTATCAATTTTTTGGAATAGAAATGACTACATATGATTCTTATTTTATTATGCCTTTGGTCTTTGGAATAGTTAATTATGGATTATTAAAGACTAGTCAACTTAAATCATTATAAACTATTTAGAACGATAAAAATAGATTTAAATTAATTAATATATGTTTTATGTCTTCTTTAGCTGTTGTTGGTTTACCAATAGTAAAAAATATTAATTAATTTTAGGATATTCTTATGATTTATTCAATTATGGGATGTTGCCAAACATTAATATAATATAAAAAATAAAAAGAAATAGAGAATTTATTGAGGAATTCTTAATAGTATTTGGTTATTTGGCATTTATTATGAATAATATACCATATATATAAATATTCAAAAATACATTTTACACTGATTTTTTATGTTTTATTAATTTAAGTAATTGGATGTATAAACATTCTTAGATAGTATAACAAACTATAAATTATTAATTGAATATATTTCTATAGTAGTATCTATTGTTAATTTTGCTAAGTTATTCTCATAATTTAATAAATTTATTTTATCTAAAATATATTATTAAGGAATGAATTAAATAAATTAATTTATATATTCTAAAGACTCATTATTGATGAAAGTGAAAAGTAAAAGCTATTTTTATTTATTATTTAATTAGATTCTATTATAATATATTTAATTTACCTTTGGGGGAGGTATCAAAAATTAATATAAATCTACTTTGTTTTTAAAATATAATAAAAGTAGTCTCTAAAAATAAACAAAATATCTCTTTACTAAGAAACTTTCCAGATAATAATATAATTATAATTTATCAAATATCCTCAAAATCAGGAATATTGAGATTTCTTAAATAGTCCCTACCAAGATGACTCTTACCTTAATATGAACCCAAATAACTTTTGATTCCTGTTTCTCCAATATCAGTTTCATCAAAGTTACCTTCTTTTGTATTAATTGCAGGATCAGTCATATATTATCCAATACCTTAGACATCACAAATTATGTAATTAAGATTTGATTTGTAAAAAGTATAAAATGAAAATGCTTACATTAAATGATTAAGCGAATTAGAATCATCCAATATAAAAGCACTATTATTATTATATTTTACAAATTTTCCACTAAAATATCTTTCAGCTACCCAAAAAGAATCTAAAATAACGATATTTCATACTTTTTTATTTTACATCTTTTAATATTAAAATATTAGTATATTGAACATCAAATATCTAAAGTTCAGTATCTTCTTTTTAGTTTTTTTCCAAATCTTTGATAAATTTTTCAAGAAGACCTTTTGCAATTAAATGAGATCTGCAATCTTTAACAGCATCTTCAATAGATTAATAAGTTTTATCTCCTAATGGCATTTTTATTGCATATAATTCAGTAGGAGTGTCCTTTTTCTTCATCAAAAACACCTGCTTAAGTGATCCTGAAGCAAATGGATGTACTGTTCTTTTGCAATCCCATAAACCAGGTTCTTTTATAGGTTTAAAGCAATTTTCTGTTTTAAAGGCTTTGATATTTTATATATGGTTTTCCAAAAATTGATCAGATAGCTCTACTTTAAACACTTCAAATTTAGTTTCAATAACTTCAACCTCAGGATCTTAGTCAAAATTAACAGGATCTGTGTTTTTCTTACATAGATTTTCCATGGCACTTATGATTTCAATCTTTTGAAATGTTTTCTTATTATTTATCTTTGAGGCTGTATTATTCATTTAAGTTATGGTTACAGTTGCATTTGAAATTAAATTGACAAATAAATTTGATAGATTTGAAATACCAATATTTTGAGCATCCTCAACCAGTAATAATTCAGGTTTACCTTAAGCTTAATAGATCTATATTATTAATAGTTTATACTTTCTTAATTTCATCATACATAACTTCAGTTACTTAATTAAATTTAATAGCCATTAAAAATATGTTTTTATCAATTAATTCTAATATGGCATCCTCTATATCTTCATTAGGATAGCGATCACTTACACCCCCATTATATTTCCTTCCATGAGTAGGTGAATCACAAATTAGAATTGCCAATCTAAATTCTTTTTCCCATTCAAGATTTTTAACCATTTATTTCATACCACCTCTTAAGTCTTCAGCCGCATCTCCTCCCCCTGCGCAGACTAATGAGTCTAAAAATTCTTCTACAAGACGTGAATCTTAAGTAAATTTTAATTATCGATATTATGATCCTAATTATTTGTATTCTGAAAAATCTTGATATCCTATCACACTCCATTTAGCCTCTTTTTAAGTAAACATTTTAATTTATTTAATGCTCTCTTAAATGCATTTTTTAGCCTATTATTTGTATGGGTCCATTGATCCTGTAATATCTAATAAAAAGCATATTTCAATAAATCCATGAGATTTTTTTATATGCCTGAACATTTCTATTAATATGATTATTTAAATTACATTTTATTGTATTCTTGTTTTATTCATTTTCTTACTACTATCTAAATTATTATTATTCTCTAATTTCCATGAATCCATTTAATCTATTTTACCTACTTTATTCCTAATTTTTTAATTCCAAATTTCTTTATTCTAAATTATCTTAATTTTTCTTCAAAGTAGGCACCTCTTTTTCAAAATTATTATAAATCTCTAACCTCTAGTCCAAAATTTTAGATTCATTAAATTTTTAAGAATTTTTTCCATCCATTTATTATTTATCTAATTAATTCTTTAATTTCTCTATTTCCCTTCTATATTATATTATTTCTTAATATAATTTTTTAATTTCATCTTTTAAATTTTCTTTTTCTAACTAATATTTTTCAAAATATTTTTGTTTATCTACATTAAATTTATTCTCTAGTTTATCTAGAAATTTATGAAATTCAACATCTAATTCTCTCTGTTTATCCATTTTCATTTCCTCACAATTCCTTAAGATTTTCTACTCTAAGGAACAAAGTTTTTCTTATTAATTTTTGTATTTATTTAAGTTTTCAAATTTTGTATCTTCATTTTGTAATTATGGTTAGTTTTTTAATTATCTATACATTTAAATATTTGTTACTCAATATGAATCTAGTTTATTTTATTCTTTTCTATTTCTTTATTTAACAGATCATTAATACTTATAGTTTCTGCTTTTAATAAACACACTTCTTCAATTGACTCTTCTAATTAGATTCTAAATATCATTTAATATTTACTTCAACTTGTCATTTTCATTTTACAAATATTTCTTATCGTTCTATAAAATTGTTATTGCTTTTTCTAAATTTGTAGAATAACCTTCATTTTACATAGATATTTAAATAAATATTATTCTTTATTCATTAAGGATGATTATTAATACCATTAAATAGAATATAATTTATTTAAAATAAAATTTAAATAAATCATTCATTCATCAAATTTATAAAATATTAAACTATTTATTGTTTATCTGCTCAATCATTATTTATCTATCAAAAGAAAATTGAATTATCTATCCTCCTTTAAAAGAATAAGTTGTAAAATATTTCAATTTTTATTATAATTATTCAAAAACTATTATTTCATTATTAAATTAAACTAACAAAAAATTTCCAACAAATCTCATCAACCTTGATTAATTCTACTAAAAAATATCATTTGGAGTCTTAATCTTAGTTATTTAATTTATTTTGAAATTCCATTAAACTAATTCCTTTGTATGAATTAATATAGTAGAATTTGATTCAATAATATAACTATTGATCATAGATTAAGATTAAAAAAGTAAGTAATCAAACTGAAAATTATAAAATATTTTTAATTCCATTTTTTCTAGACTTTGAACCACAAAAAAATTACCATTTTTAGAGAATATTATTTCTGATCCTCTAATTTTTAATCTTTAAATTCTTTTGAAAAAATTAGTTATAGAAAATGCATTAATCCTTTAGTATTTTCTATTCCATTAAAATTAGTATGTGCAAAATTAGAGATTTTGTGATATATTAAAATCATGTATGGATAAATATGGATCTGGATCTTATTTCAATTTAAATTTATTCTTAAATATCCATTTTCTTTTATGGAAAATGAGGTACTCAATCCAAAAATATCCAAAATTTCTTGAAATCACAGCTAAAATTGTTCCTTTTTAATTTACTTATACTGATAGGAATTAATCATTCAATTTTTAGGATAATATAAGATTCCAATCATTTTTATTACTCNTACATTTAAATATTTGTTACTCAATATGAATCTAGTTTATTTTATTCTTTTCTATTTCTTTATTTAACAGATCATTAATACTTATAGTTTCTGCTTTTAATAAACACACTTCTTCAATTGACTCTTCTAATTAGATTCTAAATATCATTTAATATTTACTTCAACTTGTCATTTTCATTTTACAAATATTTCTTATCGTTCTATAAAATTGTTATTGCTTTTTCTAAATTTGTAGAATAACCTTCATTTTACATAGATATTTAAATAAATATTATTCTTTATTCATTAAGGATGATTATTAATACCATTAAATAGAATATAATTTATTTAAAATAAAATTTAAATAAATCATTCATTCATCAAATTTATAAAATATTAAACTATTTATTGTTTATCTGCTCAATCATTATTTATCTATCAAAAGAAAATTGAATTATCTATCCTCCTTTAAAAGAATAAGTTGTAAAATATTTCAATTTTTATTATAATTATTCAAAAACTATTATTTCATTATTAAATTAAACTAACAAAAAATTTCCAACAAATCTCATCAACCTTGATTAATTCTACTAAAAAATATCATTTGGAGTCTTAATCTTAGTTATTTAATTTATTTTGAAATTCCATTAAACTAATTCCTTTGTATGAATTAATATAGTAGAATTTGATTCAATAATATAACTATTGATCATAGATTAAGATTAAAAAAGTAAGTAATCAAACTGAAAATTATAAAATATTTTTAATTCCATTTTTTCTAGACTTTGAACCACAAAAAAATTACCATTTTTAGAGAATATTATTTCTGATCCTCTAATTTTTAATCTTTAAATTCTTTTGAAAAAATTAGTTATAGAAAATGCATTAATCCTTTAGTATTTTCTATTCCATTAAAATTAGTATGTGCAAAATTAGAGATTTTGTGATATATTAAAATCATGTATGGATAAATATGGATCTGGATCTTATTTCAATTTAAATTTATTCTTAAATATCCATTTTCTTTTATGGAAAATGAGGTACTCAATCCAAAAATATCCAAAATTTCTTGAAATCACAGCTAAAATTGTTCCTTTTTAATTTACTTATACTGATAGGAATTAATCATTCAATTTTTAGGATAATATAAGATTCCAATCATTTTTATTACTCTAAAAATGTTGAAGCATTGAATTGATTGTGAAAACAAGTATAGTAGAACAATCAAAATTCATAGTAATTTGATATGGTCTAGAGGATACATTAATAGATTGAATTAATGTGAATTTGCTCTTCAACTTTACATAATTATCTTACATATTTAAATAAGAAAAATATTCAAAAAATTCTAGTCTTTATTTTTTTATCTATCAATCCTTTTACAGCATTACTATCATAAAATTTTTCAGCAAATGAAGATTATTATGATTCAGTGTTCAAATTCTTAGACATATAAGATCTAATAGCAAATAAAAATACTTATTAAAAGATGTTCTATATTACCCTTCAAAACTTTATTTAGTACTAAATAATCTTGGACTAACAGGTCTAATCAATTTTGAAGGAACTGAATAATGGGATTAAAAAAAATGTTATGAAGTTGTTTCTCTAATTAAGGATTCACCATTCTCACAAAAGGGACCTCTAGATGTTTAAATATCAATACAATTTAATGTGCTTTTATAATTCAACTTTTTCTGTTTTGATCTATTTGAAGTTTTTTGAATAATTAGACTCAGCAATAAAAGGCAAAGTTGATTATTATTTTGGAGATAATTATTAAGTTACTTTACCAGGATATTAACCCTTCCAATTCATAAAATTTGAGTTATAAGTCGATAAAAATGTTGATTAATTTAAATTAGGATTATATTCTGGCTTAAAATTATCAACCTTCTCAGAAGTCAATGGTACAAATTGTTACTAAAATGATATAGAAATGTTAATACATTATAAACACTCTTTTTCTAAAGATATGCTAAATGAGGAGCATAATATTATTCATATGCTTTGGATTAATTCAATAAAGGTTAATCAGGAAGATATTTTGATCCTGAATAATCTTTTGAATATTAAGATATTTATTTTTTTGGTTGATAATACTTGATTTCATTGAAATCTATATTTTTGTTTTATAAATCTTATTGAGCTAATTCTTATTTACATAAACAAACTTTAAGTAAACCTTGAAAATATTCTGAATTATTATTGACAACCTCCTCAATAGTTTAATTTTATTCTATTAGATCCTTCCAAATCTCATGTTCTATAGGAAATATTTCAATCACTGCCTAATATAATGTCTTGTAATTATTATCAATAAATTATTAGTCGGATGAATTAATCAATTACAATTAGATAGTGTTCATTTTCTTATCATCTTAAATGGAGTTATTAAGTGAAAGCTATAATTAATTTTCTTATGGAAAATATGACTATTTTATATCATAATGATCAACTCTAGCGATTAGGTTATTTTTTATTTTCAATACTTTTCTTTTTATTGAAGATTAATTCCTTGATAATTCTTTAGAGTTTATTTATTTATTTGCAGATGACGATGAATTATTAATTCTTGAAAAGTCGTTATTTTAGAGTATTCTTTTAACATCATCACTAATGATCATTATTTAATATAAGATAATATATTTATTTATATAATTTATTTAAATCTATCTCTGTAATTTTTATCCTTAACTTTATAATGTCCTTTCTATATTTGATAAACAAATTAATTACAATTATATATTTTGTAAGTAAAAGTGTTTTAATATTATTTTTATTTGGATGAAAAATAAATAAGGATAAGTGTAACTAGCATACAAGTAAATAATGAGAGTAGGTGGAAATGGTGCTCTTGATACCTCAGTTACTAAAACAAAAAAGAAAGAAACTTAGTACCAGTAAATAGATTAGTCTCATAAACTTAAATAGTAGATGACATAAGTAAATTTATAGAAGTAGAAAGATCTTGCTGCTAAAAAGATATTTAGATTTTTGTATAAAATTTATAAATAGTATTATTTGACTAATGATTTATTATAGAAAAGAGAAATAACATAGATATAGAAAATTTGTGATTGAAGAGTTTATAAATACAGAAAGAAATTATGTACATGACTTAAAAATTCTAATTGTTGTCTAAAGTTAAGTTAAGCAATGGTTAAATAAGCAATAAATTGAAATAATATTTAATAATCTCCAATAATTGTATGAATTAAATAGCCCTTTTCTTTAAGATTTAGAAGGATTTCTTCCATATAAAAGATTTAAATTATTAGGACCTATGATCAAAGGATTAGCTCCTTTTTTTAAAGTTTATTTCACATATTATGAAGGATTTAATAAATCTTTGACAACCCTTAAATAATGCATAAACGATAAAGAAGATTTTAGAAAATTCCTTAAAAATATGACTGAATTAAAGGAATATAATTATTAAGATATTGAAAGCTATTTGATTAAACCAGTCTAAAGAATTCCAAAATACAATTTATTATTAGAAGATCTAATAAAACATACTGAAAATACACATCCAGATTATTAAAATTTAAGTGATTGTTTATAACTATTTAAAAAAATTAATGATGATAATAACAAAAATTTGGATTAATTTCTATCAAGTAAGTTGTTTGATATGGAGAAATGGTTTGGAAATAAGCTTAATTAGAAATTAGTAAATTCTAAAAGGAAATACATTACAGAACTTTTAACAACTATTTTAGATTAAAATAATAGAGTTATTAATGTTACAGCCTTTATTTTAAGTGATTTAATTATTATTGGAGAAAGATATGATAATTAATATCAATATGTTTAGAGTGTGTTTTTGGATGAAAGAAGTGGATGCTTAGATGTACAAAATCAATAACATCTATAAAATATTTATATTCTTTAAGGAATGAATGGTTAATCAATTACATTTATAGAAGAGACACCAAATGATAAAATTGAAAAAATGGCTAAATTACAAAAGATTATTTAAGAGTGTAAAGAAAAATCTAAATACACATTTTAAAGGCAAGCATCTCGTCAAGGATCTGAGATAAAAGTATAATTAAATAAGATTAAAGTAACAGCTTTAGGTCTTGATGAAAGACATGAGAATTTAAGTAGTTATAAAGTATATATAATTGAAGTTGGAATTGATGAAGTTTTTTAGAAACTATTTTTAAGATTTAGTTAATGCATTAAGATCTAAGATTATATTAAAAAGAAATATCCAACAATCTAATTACATTTCTTAAAATAAAGTACAACTTTAAGTTTATTGAATGATTAAAAAGAAATTGAATCAAGAATGATATCAATACCTCTGTTTGTTTAATCAGTTCTAATGTCAGAAATAACAAGACAAGATTCATAAATTTTGAAAGACTTAGGTTTACCTGAAAATTTCTATGATTTACCTTCTGAAGCAGATAAATTTAGAACTTAAAGAAATGTTGCTCAAAGAGGACCTGATAGATTCAGTTATGTTTCTCCAACTAGAACATTAATAAAAACTGTTGATTATGGGAATGATTAACAATCTATTTAGAGTAATTAATGTAATCGAAGATTATTAAGTGCATCATCTATGATCAGCAGAAACATTACATTAGTTGAGGAAAAGAAAAAGAAAAAAGACAAGGATGCAATATAAATTATAGTAAATCATTCTATACCTAAAGAGAAACCATGGGAGTTCAATATACAGAATAATACTAAAGTTTTGCATGTATTAGATCAGATTTAGAAGATTATGGAATTGCAATAAATTTACGACTTTAAATTATACATATTTGATAATAAATCTAGAGTGAAGATATTACAAAATGATGAAAATATATGTGATTTGTTTGGAGATAGTTTTATTTTTGCTAAAAAAAAAAAAGAACTTTGGTTCAAAAAGTTTTTATATTAGGATTAAGAATATGAGAAAACCTTACTCTATGCTGATAATGCTAGAATGAAACTGTTGTATTACTAATTAGTAAAAGATATTTAGATTTCAACATTCCCATTTTCAACTTAAAATTAATATATCAAATTAGCCGCCATACATTTATATTTATAGAATTGCAGTCTCTCATATGATATCATTCAATAAATCATACCATCTGCTATTTTATAGCTAAAACAAAGAGAGTATTGGAATTGTGTTGTAGCCCAAGAATTTAAAGAATTTAAAGCTAGTATTGACAATACATAATCTACAATGGTTGAAATCAATGAACCTGAGGATATAGTTAAAGTTAAATCAAAAGGTATATTTTCATCTTTTGTTTAATCTACATAAACACAATTCTCCTAAATTGAAAATATTAATATAGATTCAACTAAAGCAATGATTCAATTTATTACAGAATGTTTGAGAAATGATTTCTGCATTTAATAATTATTTCAAGTAGTGTGCAAAGAGGCATTGTCATAATTTGGCGAATAGAACTTAGTTTTGGGGGTTAGTTATAATGGAATTAGACTTTATAGTAGTTCTAAAGATAGAATATGGGAGAAAATTGAAGAACCCTAATCATTTAATGTATTTCCAGGGTCCATAGAAATTGGATTTAAGGGAAGAAAGCTGAAGTTTGAAACCACATAAGGATTTTAAATATAATCTTTATTTGATGAATATTAAGCTATCAAATCATCGAATTAAGAATGACATGTCATTTTACATATCTTATTATTATATTATTGTTATCGAATTGGATTAATATTTTTTATGATCATATTCGATTCATAAATGAAGCAAAATGAAAATATCGAAGATGAGTCTGAAGATAAGTATGAAGTAAAAAGGGATATTTTAGATAATTATATGTACCATTATTTCCTATGAGAAAGAAACCGTCCATAGGATCTAGTTAAACTTCTTCTCAATCAACATCATAATCAACTTAAATGCTTACTTAATATAGAAGCATGTAAGATTCAAATGAGAAAAGAGAATTGGAAGCAGCAATAATCAAAGAACTCATGAAAGATAAGCGATCCACTCAATTTTATGCGGTTCGAGAAAATTGGATCTCATAATATAAATAATATTTATATCAAAACGGAGAAAGACCAGGTATTTTAGATAATAATAACTGTACTTAATATATAATAGTTAATGAGGCCGTATGGATATTTTTTAAGCAAGAATATAAAGCTAACCCAGATATAATTTGTAAATAAAAACTTTCAAGAACTAATGATAAAAGATCTAAGACTGTTGAGCCTACAATAAATCGACAGTCTGTTTCTAATTCTTAATCTACTTATGAGTTACCGCTTATTGGAATGAAAAATGATTCTTACTTTTGTTATATGCATTCTGGATTATAATCCCTATTAAGCATAGCTGATCTTAATTATTTCATCGTAAAATACATCCAAAGAATATCTAAATAACAAATAATAGACAAAAAAAAGGCAAATATTGTTTCATATACCAAAGCTTATTTCGATTTAATTGATTAAATCAAAGTTAGTACTGTCCCTATTAAAATTAATACTATCAAAACACTTATTATTAATTAATTTCTTCCTAAAAATTAACACGATTGCCATGAATTCTTACTTTATTTGTTAGGACATATAGAAGATGAAATTTTGAATTTTAATAAGGAAACGAAATCAACTTATATTAATTATATCGAGCAAATTTTTAAAGGTAGAAAATTTTATATTTAATAGGAAAAATTTAGACTAATATTATATGTCAACTTTGTAATTATTAGGTCAAATAAATCGAACCATTTTTAACTTTATCTTTAGCTATCTCTCAATCTAGAACACTTGAAGAATGTCTTGACGAATTTCTTAAAGATGAAACACTAAGAGATTATAAATGTGCAAAATGTTAATCCTCCTGTATTAAAAGTCTATAAATCATTTCGATTCCATAAATACTTGTGTTGCATCTTAAAAGATTTTAATTCTTGCCTTCATGTCATAAAAATAATAAAACAATAACTTATCCTATGGATATTCTAAATTTTGGAAATTAAACTTATAGGCTAAGAGCAGTGATTGTTCACACTGGCAATTTATAATAAGGCCATTACTTCTCTTATGCCAAAAGATATCATTAATGGTTTCTATTTAATGATGAAACTGTTAAAGCTGCAACCAAAAAGTAAGTACTCATGCAATCTGCATATATCCTCTTTTACTAAATTAATGATAATCCCTGATTTTGACTTTAATATTCAAATTTATGTGCATATTCTAAATAGTATTTATTAGAGCAATCTTTACATCTTTTTACAATTATTAGTAAATATATTCTAATTATATATATTATTCACAATATTGCTATTATATATGATGATTATTTTAAAAAATTCAATTTATGCTTAAAAATTGTATCAATAATTTTTTTTGTATTTTTCAAAAATATTATTATCTAAAAAGATGGAATTAATTATTAGCTAAATTATTAGTTTTTTTTTTCTTAAATTATCCAAAAAAATAAAAATAGTTAATATTATAATCTTTACTTTTAATTCTTAACTGTTAACCATCAATTAAAAAAATATAATAATAAATTATTTTGTACCATTATTCAATTTAAATCATAATTTTAGTATTTTTATTTTATTTCCTTTAATAAGACCATTGTATTTTATTATTATTATAATTTTACATTTATAAATTACCTGCATATAAAACAGTTAAATTATAATCTGGGAACAGAGTTGTAATTAAGTTAAAGTTCTACTAATTTATTGTTTTTATTATAAAAAAATCAATAATCTTTGCCAAAATTGCACTTATACAAAATTAATCCCTTCTTAAATCAATTTTTATTCATTTTTAATTAATTATATAATGTATATTTTAGAAACTCGTTTAATATTTACTATAATGCGCTTTCTCCAGACTAGACGGAATCAATTTGCTATGCATTATTTTAATTAATAAAACTTAGCAATCACGTTCTTAGAATAATAATTTCATGCCTAACGATTTTACAGCTTCTAGTTTTCATTATATAATATTAGTAACTCTAATAAATTTTGAATTATATTAAGTATTATAATTTAATTTTCATTTAGTATACTTTTAAAAGACGAATAATCAGATAAATTAATTATAAGTTTATAATTTTTTAATATTTTTTATATAATAATACTAATTTCAGATAAATTCTACAATTAATTAATATCATTTGAAAGATAAATAATTTCAAATAAATTAATGGAAAGATTATGTTAATTTTATTTTTTTGATAATATTATCACATTTTCCTTGGCTATCAAAGGCTTATACTACATTCATTTAAGAGATTGAAACCAGCAATTCAGCGGGAGAATTAAGCATAGACAAAATTCTTCTGGGATGAGAAATGTTATGGAGTTGTTTATTTAAAAAGTGTTAAAGGAACTTGAATTAGCCAAAATTTTTTTTGATATTCCATATCTATTGGAGTTGAACGCTTGCTCTTAAGAAAATGAGAAAATAGAGGCTTATAAACGAAAATGCTGTTTTAATAAGAAAATTAACTCAAAATAAATATACAAACGAATATATCTCAGGATTAACTTTCAAAAAGTTAGATTTACTGTAGGTAGAAATAAATCCCAGATAGTGCACAATATTCAAACTAGTTTTCTCTAACATAAAATCATGATATTGATTGGTTAGGATAATAGAATTAAGAATAATGTAAATGGATTATGAAACTCATAAAATATATATGAATAGTTCATTTTAATTAGAATATTTTCGGGATGAGACCATATATACTCATCATTTTATAAATCCAAAGTTTTGGATACTTAAAGGGGAGATAATTTATAGAATAATTTTGCAGAAATCTTTATAATGGTATTTGGTTTTTTTTTAATTTTTAAATGAATAGTTGATATATATATTTTCGCTTAATTTTTAGAATAGAAGCTGAAAGCTGAATAACAATTTTATTAAATTAAGTCATACGTATTAATTATGGATAATTTTCCTATTCATAAAAGCAAAATTATATATGAACATTTTTTAAAAAAATTAATAGTTTTTTTATTCCTTCATATTGTCCTGAATTAAATCCTATTGAGGGTGTTTGGTAAATATTAAAAAATCAATATTTAAATAATAGCCAACTTCTAATTTTGTTTTTCACAGATAATTACATAATGAGTAAAAAATTTATAACTAAGCAAGCAAGAATAAAAATTTTAATTAAACCTACGTTTATTGAAATGGAATGTTTTGATTTTTGATTTTATTACAATTTAAGAATAGTCAGGCTATATATGTTAATCATAAAGGTTATTTATTTTATTTTGGAAAGAAATCTAATTGAATACATTTACTATTATTATTGTATTTGTTTCTATTTTTGCCTAATTAAATATACATAACTTAATTCATGAATTTTATAAGCAAATATCTCGCTTCAAACATTAAGACTAAGAATATTTTGTAAAAATGATTCTATTGTTATTAATTTAGGAACTCTTTTGATATATTGAATTAATGTATTTTAAGGTAAAAAGTATAATAATAAGTAATTGATTTTTTTATTTTAAGAGGTTAAAGCGTAATTAGTCTTTGAAAAGATAAAACATAATAGATATTTTATATAAATTATATTTAAAAGAAATATGATATTAAAAAGATAAAACATAATAAATATTTTAAATAAATTATATTTAAAAGAAATATGATCTTAAAAAGATAAAACATAATAAATATTTTATATAAATTATATTTAAAAGAAATATGATCTTAAAAAGATAAAACATTATAAATATTTTAAATAAATTATATTTAAAAGAAATATGATCTTAAAAAGATAAAACAT